CCACTAATGTCAAGTTCTCAGGAGGTAGCAGAACCCTGTTTATATTTACATTCTTTGAAATACATGGAAATAGATTTTTTTACTAAATCGTGACTGTTGTAAAAAATTTATATAATACACTCTTTTCTTGCCCCTTAGAAATAGCTCCTATAGTGGTTTGGTATACGTCTTTCCAAACTTTATTTTGTGCTTATATAAACATTGTAGTATATATGAATATATGCACATAGGGGTGTGTGTGTGTGTGTGTGTGTGTGTGTGTGTGTGTGTGTGTGTGTGTGTGTGAAATGGGAGCACACTGTCCATTTTTCCCATTGTACTACAGGGTCATCTTTGCCATAAATCATGTGACTGTGTTTGGATCTACTTCTGGATTCTGCTTAATTTAATTGGTCTATCTTTAAGTTCTTACCATACTGTCTTAATTACTGTACCTTTGTAATGAGTCTTGATATCTGGTAGCATCAGCCTTCCAACTTTGTTGTTTTCCAAGAACAGCTTAGTTATTCTGGCCCTTTTTATTGCCATGTACATTTTAGAATCAGCTCGTCAATTTCCATAAGAAAAAAGCTTGTGAGATTTTATACTGGAGATTGTGTTGAAACAATGGATTAATTTGGGAATAATTGACATCTTTACAACTATTCGGTTTTCTAGTCTATGAATATGATGTATATCCCTTCAATTATTTAGGACATCTTTAATTTCTCTCAATAATAATTTGTAGTTTTTTGTGTAGAGGTATTGTGCTACACAGTATGAGCTTCCTTTCATATCAGACAAAAATTTACTTATTTTTTAATAGTTAAGTAGTTTAGATGAACTGTTTATATTTTTAACCTTTCCCCAAGATAATTAAAGGCTATTTCAAATCCTTTCATATTAAAAATAATGCTAATGAAAATCCTTGCTAAATGTACATGCTCAAGACATGATTATTGAATCTGGTTAGGATTTTCATCTCTTTTCTTACTCAGCTGAACTGACTAATATTTCCCCAAAACCTGAATGTCCTTCCTCCCTCCCTTTCTCTCATCTGAATACTTCCTCTTCTGGGCCTTCCCAATGGTCTAAACTCAAAGGGTCCTCCCCAAAGCTGGGGTAAATTGTCATCCTCAAAAGCTTGGAGGCCTAGAAGCTCTTTCTCCTTTCAAAGCCAATGGCCTCTCCAATTTTCCCAGTTGTGTACTACTGTAATTTCTTTTCTTTTTTTTTTTTTTTTTTTCCCCTTTTTTTGTGTCCGGCAACGGATCGCAACCCTCAGTGTCGCACCCGCACCTCGCTCAGCCAGTGAGCGGGAACCGGTCTGTATGTGGGATCCGAACCCTCGGCGGGAGCGCCGCCACGCTCCCAAGCAGCGCACTGCAGCAGTGCGCCACCGGGCCGGCCCTACTACTGTAATTTCTTTTCTTTTTTTTTTTTTTTCCCCTTTTTTTGTGTCCGGCAACGGATCGCAACCCTCAGTGTCGCACCCGCACCTCGCTCAGCCAGTGAGCGGGAACCGGTCTGTATGTGGGATCCGAACCCTCGGCGGGAGCGCCGCCACGCTCCCAAGCAGCGCACTGCAGCAGTGCGCCACCGGGCCGGCCCTACTACTGTAATTTCTTTTCTTTTTTTTTTTTTTTCCCCTTTTTTTGTGTCCGGCAACGGATCGCAACCCTCAGTGTCGCACCCGCACCTCGCTCAGCCAGTGAGCGGGAACCGGTCTGTATGTGGGATCCGAACCCTCGGCGGGAGCGCCGCCACGCTCCCAAGCAGCGCACTGTAGCAGTGCGCCACCGGGCCGGCCCTACTACTGTAATTTCTAAACACATTTTACTTTCTAGTTTTGTGTAGAGATAACTCAGAAGAGATGGAGGAGGAGGGAAAAGTTTGTAAATTATCTTCTCTAGTCAAGGAAGTGTATTGTTTTAAATTGTTTTTACTTTTTTATTCTTTCTATTTGGTATTTTTTATCTATTTGGTATTTTAGAATAGCTTTGTCCCACCACCATACCACCAAAAACAACAGCAGTAAAAGCAAAACTCTGGTTGTAATTTTGTTCTTCAAAGACTTCAGTGACTAACCACTGCCTATTGAAAAGAATCCATACCTCTTAGCTCTCTACCATTCAGGTTCTTTCACAGGTCTGTCCTTACTGACCTTTCTGTTCTTCATGTACATTGTGCACTGATTAAGCTGGGATACTTGCTGTTCCCCTTTTTTATATTTCTATACTTCTTCTGGTATTGTGTCTTCTACATGGTCTTCAACAGTCAAAACCTTACCCATTCTTCAGATGTCCAGTGTAAATGCTGGTTCCTCCATGAAGTATTCTGTGATCTCCCTGCCTTTTCTGACCTCCACCAAAAGAAGTCATTTTCCCACCTGAATTTACATAGCACTTTTACTATGCACAGCATTATTTTTATACTCTACCCGTGATAAATTCCTTGAGTGCAAGCAAGGTCTTGCCATTGTTTTCTCTGCTTTTTGCATTAGTTATTGCTTTGAATATGTATAGATTACATTGAATATAAATGAACTTTTGATCTTTTAGTTACAAGGAAACTGGTCAGAGGACTGTCAAAAATTCTTCCTCTGCATTGGCCTGCAAATAAATGCATTCAGTTCTGAAACTGTGTAGGTTTATTTTTTTGTTTTCTTTGCTTTTCAGTTTTTTTTAAATTTTTATTTTATTTTTTTCATTGTACATGTTTATGGGGTACAGATTGTTTCAATACATGCACATATTGTATAATGACCTAATGAGAATAGTTAGCATATCTATCACCTAAACATTTATCATTTTTTTGTGGTTATAACATTCAAGATCCTCTTTTCTGGTAATCTTGAAATATACATACAGTATTATTAGCTATTGTTCCCCTAGGGCACCAGATCTTATTCTTCCTATCTAACTGTAACTTTGTACCTTTTCTATGAACCTTTCCCCGGCCTCCCCCCACCCCCCTTTTCCCTGCCTTTGGTAATTGCTACTCTACTATTTTTCTTTTTAATTTATTTTTCTTAAATAATATTTATAGAGTACAATATGATAATTGGGTACATTAATACTGTATGCAGTGATCATATCAGGGTGCTTAGTATATCCATCACCTCAGACATTTGTCACTTCTTTGTGTTACGAACATTCAGCATCATCTTGACTAGCTATTCAAAGATACTCAGTACAGGGGACTGGCCATTTAGCTCAGTTGGTTAGAGTACAGCCATGTAACACCAAGGTCAAGTTCAGATACTGGCCAGCTGCCACACACACACACACAAAAATACATAGTAATTTGTTGTCTCTCTAACATTTTTTTTTTCACTAACCACCTTCTCTCCATAGCCGCTCTTCTCCTTCCCCCAACCAGTGTCTAGTAACCACTATTCTACTTTCTACTTTTATGAGATCAACTTTTTTAGCTTCCACTTATGAGAGAGGACATGTGGTATTTCACTTAACATACTTTTCTTCAAATTCATCAATGTTGCTGCAAATGGCAGAATGTCATTTTTTATGGTTGAGTAGTATTCCATTGTGTATATATACCACATTTTCTTTATCCAGTCACTCATGGAATGATGTTTAGGTTGATTCCGACTCTTGGTTATTGTGAATAGAGCTGAGATAAACATGGGAGTACAGGTATCCCTTTAACATGATTATCTCCATTTCTTTGGATCCCAGTGGTGGACTGCTGGATCGGATGGTAGTTCTAGTTCTATCTGTAGTTGTTTGAGAAACCTCCATACTGTTTTCCACAGTGGCTGTACTAAATTACAGTCCCACCAGCAGTGTAGAAGAGTACCCCTTTCTCTGTATCCTACCCAGCATTTGTTACTGTCTTTTTTTTTTTTTTTTTTTTTTTTTTTTTTTTTTTTTTTTTTTTTTTTTTTTTTTAAAA